GGTGTACATAAAAGATACATTCGTCAAAGAGTCAAGAATCATCAGGTGCAACACTTAATAATAGTCATAGGTTACAATAAGGAATCAAATCATACTAGGAAACAGTCCATATAAATCGTAAGGATATAAGCGACAAAGTTACAGTCATACATTCTCAGGTGGGAGGGGATGGGTGATAAGGAGTGATGAGAAGATTAATAGTAATAGTAGTAGTGTAGACTTTGTAAATAGTTTGAAAGTGTTGAGGGAATTATTTGTTTAGGTGAGTGATGGCGTTCGGGAAAAAACTGTCCTTGTGTCTGGTTGTTCTGGTGTGCAGTGCTGCGTAGCGTCGATAGGTAGTCCTTCACTTACAACTGTTCATTTAGGGACCGTTTGAAATTGCAACCCTTCATGAAAATTTTAGCAAAAAAAATGGAATTTGGATATAGGAAATAACAAAACAGAACCGGAAATTTTTCTATTAGGCATGCTAGAACCAAATATGAAAAAGAAATACCAATATTTGATTTTGCATATTATAATAGCAGCTAGAATAAGTTTAGCTCAAAAGTGGAAATTGGCTATGACCCCTTCAGAAAACATGATAATTAATAAGATTCACGAATGTGCCGAAATGGATAGATTAACTAAATTGCTAAAAGATAATCAAGACAGTGAATATTACAAAACATGGGATATCTGGTATGATTGGATAAAGAAAAGGTGATATCGGATGATTTGGTGATATTTTGAAAAGGGTGACGTGTAAATAAATGTAAATAAACTGTATGTATCCGTGTATAGGACGAAGGAGTTATTATGACAACGTACAACACGCTATCAAAAGGGAAGTACAAGTGTTATCTATTGCTCAAACGATGCTGTAAAATGTATATGTTTTTAATTTTACAAATGTTGAATAAATATATTATTTTAAAAAAAGAAAGAAAGAAATTGCAACAGTACTGAAGGAAGTGACATCCAGTCCTCAGAGTTACAACTCTTGCGGCGTTCCCACGGCCACCAGATCAAAATCCAAACTCTTAGCAACCATATTCCCGTCTTCTTCTTTTCCAGGGAAAAATCCAAGAAACTAGCAGAACAAGCGGCCGCTATCGCCTGTTTAAGAACTCTGGGCCTCCCCGAAGGCAAACGCAACGAAAGCCCCAATCACACCTTGCTTAACAAGCGCAAGAGGCAAGATCAGGAACTTTCGAACTGTGATGAACACACAGACAGCTTTGCCGTCGATGCTGTTTGCAAAAAAGCACATTTTCTTCCCAAAGAATCCCTTTGCCACAGTTCCTAATGACCACACTACGCTCACTGGTGTTTTGCAACTATGCAGCTCCCCGTTTCCACCCAAATTCTCTGCCCTTTATTTTTTTTTCTTGGAGGCAATCAGGTGGAACAGGTAAATTTGAATTTTGATCCATGTCTCCTGGGGATCTCCAGGGAATCTCGTACCATTTTTTATTTTGCACCTTTTAATTGGGAGAATTAATGCTTTTTGAGCCAACCTTTTCCGTCTCTGGGAGTCACAGAGCAGGCATTCCTCAAATTCTTTTATTTCAATTGTCTGCCCTCTCTCAAGATCATTCATACCTTGCAAGATACCGGCTCTCTTCACTCAAGCATCTCATGTTCTTCGGCCAAAATCTCACGACATACCTGAGGATTCAAGATCTTTTAAATTTTAATGGTGATAGATTGCACACACAGCAGGATTGGGGAGCGGGGGGGGGGGGGGGTCACCCTCGTGGTGCCTGCAAATGCCACACTGCTGACTTTGTCTAGGGCAGGGGAGTGCAATCTTGGCAACTTTAAGACTTGTGGACTTCTGGCTGGCTGGGGAATTCTGGGAGCTGAATATTGAGAATGGAAGATGGAATTCTGAACCGTTCTGATTGGGGCTTATTTCAGAATGTAATATTTCATTTGCAGCCGATTCTTTTCCAGGGGAAGAAATGGAGGAATAGCAGCAAACAAAACGTACAGCTTGTTTAATGTCAGTTTCCCCTAATGCTATTTTTTTTTTTTACAATATTTTTTTTTGTCTCCAAAATTAAAATACAAAATAGTGGAGGGGGGGACAAAAAAAAAGCCCCCAAACATCCACTACAGACAGAGCAGTGAAATAATAGTAATAAAAACGCATGTACAAAAAGTAACAGATGACAACTATATCATTAACATTAAGTCTAAAATGTGTCCATCCTGGTAGAATGCTGAGAAATATATCTAAAATTAGCATAAAGTGCTAATTTTACCTTAAGGAGAGCGGGTGACCAGACTGGATTTGGAAACCTTGCGCCATTCATTTGTCCTTACGCTTGGCAGAGCATGGTTTTAAATAACATGGAAGCATGACTCTTGGAATCTGCATTACAAATAGCGCCCCTTTATGAAGCCTGTAAGTCACAATTCAAAGGCATTTGCCACCCTAAGCTCTGGTTCAAGCCCTTTTTGCTTTGATTTAAATCTGAACCAAGATTAAGAGAATAAAAGGAATGGCCCAAATCTGATTTATTCCAATGAGCATATGTCTTTTTCTTCTGGCAGACGTTCCTTTAATGCAGGGGTCGCCAACCTTTTGGACCTCACCAAAGTCATAATTTTAAATCCCGCAGACCAGAGACCCTGGGAAAATCCCCCCAAAAATCTGCAGGAAAATTCCCCCACCCCGTTTTTTCTACCGATCGATTCTTTATTTGGGATCGCAGGATACCAGCTCCAGCTCCATTCTCAGGGGAGAGAGAGAGAGAGAGACTTTTGGTTTCATGCAAGGAAAGCAGCAGAAGTCTTTCTTTCTCTCCCCCAAACTCTGCCAGAAATGAGTCTTTGTGAGACTTGTCGTGCCGGCGCAGCCTCTTGGAGCAGGAGGCCTTGCAGGGTCCCAAGGACTCATTTCTGGTGGAGTTTGGAGGAGAGAAAGAAAGACTTTGGCTGCTTACCTTGCATGCACCCAGAAGCAGAAGAAGAAAGAAGCAGCCCGGTGGCCAGGCAAGTTGAGTGGGGCAAGTCCTCCCCCCCTCTGCCCTTCCTCCTCTCCCCTCACTACCTCGTGTTGTTCGCAGTGCAAGCGACGCAAGCCTTGTGTTCCCACTGGCCACGTGGGCGGTGCAGCCTTGTGTTCCTGCGCAGCCTGGATTAATTGCTTGGGGGGTGACATTTCTCTGGACCACCAACATTTTCTTGCAGACCACCAGTGGTCCCCGGCCCACTGGTTGGCGACCACTGCTTTAATGAGAAATGAAAGGCAGGACTGGGAATGGGCAGGAAAGCACTTCTCAAGCAGCCAGCGGATTGAGAAAGCACCTGAGACTCGGCCAGATGGTAGGTAGACATGTTCAGTGCTGGAAACCTGCTGGCAAGGATGGGTGGATTTCTTTATGGAAAGATGTGATGCTCCCCCCCCCCCCCGTTTGATATTTTTCTTTGTTATTTTGTTTTCCAATGGAATAAACGCTCCCTTTTTCTTTGCTTCGTTGATCTGATTGGAGCAGGAGCTAATCCAGCAGTGGCGATCTTGAAGATCTGGGTCAGGCTTTTGCTCGAGCGATTTTGAGAGCGGAGTGGTGGCCTAGAGGTGAAGACACTCGCCTTCCACTCAAGACGGTTGAGAGTTCAATCCTACTGGCAGATATTTCTCTCCTAGGGCGTTAAAAAAAATCTGCTGTGAACTTTGCATTGGCGTCAGGAAGGGCATCCGGCCAGTAAACGCTCAGCTCCATCCATTTGCCCTGATTCTACCCCGAATTAAGGGATTACAGGGCCGTAAAAAAATTAAAAAGATCATGGATGGCCTCTAAAGGATCGTTTAGAATCAGTTCTCTGCAAATGAAAGAAATCTTTTGCTACAAAATGCCAAATTGATAGCTATTTAAACAGAAGTCCAATTAAGGCTTAACATAAACCAATCCAAAAACCCAGAATACAATGACCAGAGTACAGAGCTTCACAAAGGACTCGGAGATTACTGAACTGCTTTGCTTCCTGCAAACTCTTCGTCATTGAGGACTGACTTTTATCCCTTATGGGAGGGATAAGGGATAAGCCTTACTCCCGAGTTGCCCCTTTTGTTTCAGCTGCTCTTGCTTTCTAGCATCTCTGTGCATACGCGCACTGGGAACAGGCTCCCCTGGGTCCTCTACCTCGCTGCTAGCAGACTCCAAAGGCTCCGGAGTCAGCACCCCACTCCCAGATGGTCCTGGCCCCATCCCTGCATCGGATGCAGGAGCCTCCTCCGAGTCCTCTCCAGACTTCCTGACCTTTCTTCCTCACTGTCCGATACCTCTGCCGTCCGCACCGACTGTTGGCAAACCTCAACACCCTGTGTGTTAAACAGCTGACATGCAGCAATTGGCTGTGCCGCGCGAAGCAGCTTGAGCTTGAAAACCAGGAAATAAAAGGTCAGAACACAGCCTGGGCAGGTGGGAGGGCCCAGCAACTGATCATCGGAGCAAACCGTTTTCGCTCACAAATGATCCTTGGAGCTACCGGTTCAGCTGAACCGGGCCGAACCGGCAGACTACCCCCCACTGAAAACGATGGTTTTCAGGGGAAGTTGTTATATCTGTTGTGCACATCGGAGGGCAGCACAAACTGCGGGCTCTCCCATCCTCACAGCCATGTGCCACATTGATAGGAAGCAGCAGAGAACGGCAGGAGAGCTCCAAAATTCTTGCAGACAAGCGGAGCAACCAAGCCCTAACCTGCAGGGCAAATAAGTGGAGGGGGGGCGTTTCTCAGTGAAAACACCAGAAAGTTCTGGATTGTTCACCTGGCTCCCGTTGGTAAGAATCCAATTGCTCCAGCATAGAAACTATGCACACCAGTGAGTTTATTTGCAGTCTTTATTTGCAGGGATGAAAGCTGGGTAGCGTCAAATAAACACTGCTGGTTTTAACTTCTGCATTGCTTTGTAGAGTTCCTGGGGATTTCTTCTTGCAGCAGCATGGACATTTTATTAGGCCTTATGCCAGTTTCTGAGACCCACAACAATCGTCTTTTGAACAATATTCCCTGTTGGGGGGGGTATCAAAAACCAAATGAACCCCAGCCTAATCAAGGAGCCCCCAAGATCACGTCCACCAACACTGACAGGGCAAGGCACTTGTATATAAACAAAAAGCAAGCCCTTCTCCCTTCTGGCACTGATGGTGTTACTTACTGGGGTAATGAAATGTCTGCGAGAAAACGACCCAGCTCAGAGAGCACTTAGGACCCAACAGGCTTCTTCCTTCTCTTCCTCTCCACTAACCCTACCCTCTTACAGCACTGATGATGTTACCCACATGGGTAATGGAACATCTGCAAGAATACTAAGCTCTAAGGACCCAACAGACTACTACTTCCTTCTCTCCACACACTAAGAACCCAACAGGCTTCCTCCTCCTCTCCACAAACCCCATCCTCTTCTAGCTCTGATGACATTACCTAGTTGGCTAATGAAAGGTCTGCAAGAACACAAACTCAAAGAGCACTAAGGACCCAACAGGTTTCCTCCTCTTCCTCCTCCTCCTCCTCCTCCTCTTCTTCTTCCTCCTCCTCCTCCTCCTCTCCACAAACCCCACCCCCTTCTAGCACTGATGACGTTACCCAGTTGGTTGATGAAACGTCTGAAAACAACCCAGCTCAAGAGAGCACCAAAGACCCCACTATCAATATTTTTCTGGATTTCCTTTTTCTTTTCCCCTAATCTTTTTTTTTTTACCTGCCCTCTCCCGTTAAGAGCGGACACAGAGTAGACCTCAATGCTTTGCAAAAGAGCTCCGTGCATGACACGCTGCCGTGTCTCTCAGGAGACATGTGGGCACCTCAAAAAGAGAGAGTCTCGAATGCCCCTTGACCTTAGATACTCCTGCCTTCGGGACTTCCTTCTCTGGAGGAGATGTTAGCAGAACCTATTTTGGAATGTCCCGGGCACGGAGCCGAGTCTTGTCCTGGAATGTCAGGCTTAATGTCGGACTCGATGCAGTCGGAATAGCAGCAGATCCAGTGCTTTCCCGGGACTCTGGCTTGGAGAGGCAGTGGCTGCGGGACAGCTCAGCTGTTCCGTTTTGAGACTTCAGAAATGCTGTACTGGTTGTTTCTTTTCCTTTTTAGCTTACCCCCTGTGGCCTGCAGTGAATGCACTTTGCGGGATGCTTTTCAGCAAGTCTTAATGTCATGACAACAGGTGTTCGTTCAAGGCAGCGCTCATTGACAAAAAGGGGGTTTTGTCACTCTTATCAGGAAAAACAGATGGCTGGAGAAGCTGTTGTGCTAACCAAGAGGCAGAAAGGGCCCTGTTGGTGGCTGTGGTCTGGGCTGGCATCAACGTCTTCTTTGCCAAGTGCACGGCCTCTGTGGGAGCTCTTGGTTGTTCTTCCCGCTGCTTCCCTCCAGCCAAGGCAGAAGACACAACGCAGGAACAAAAGTCTCTAGCCGCATTTCAGAAAAATAAATTAATTGGTTTATTAGAAATTGCCATGTTGGTGTGTGGTGGATGCAGCCAGTGCTAAATCCCATCATACATTTCCCCCTTGACCCACCCCCTGGATGTGACTTCCCATTAGGACACATCAGTCTCCAAGAGTCATCCATCATACTCTCCAATAACCTTCTTACACTCCGACAACTTTGGGCTTCTTCTTCTTCTTCTTCTTCTTTTTTCTTCAGCGTTTGTCTCGCGCTCTGGCAAGGTCCGCTAATGTCCTTGAGTATTGCTTCCACGCCTCTCTGTCTGCCACGTATGTCGGGTCTGCCTTCGCGATCTCTAGGTCGGCCTTGATCGTGTCCATCCAGCGTTGCTTAGGTCTACCACGCGGTCTCGCTCCTCCGACAGTCACCTTCATCGCAGATTTGATGATGGATTCTTCCTTGGCGCGACTCACATGGCCGAACCATCGTAGCCGGGACTGCCTCATGACCGTGGGGATGGGCACGACGTTGAACCATCTACGCACTTCTTCATTCCTGTGCGTGTGTTCTGTAGTGGACGTTTCCACCATGTTGATGCGGCATTTGAATACTCCAGCCGGCCTGTCGTGTGGGCCTGTCGTCGGAGGGTCTGCTCTCAGTTACGGTCAGCGTTTAACGGCTTCGCGCATCCAGGGGACACCACTTGGAGGTGGCAGACCGCTCGTCCCCCAACTCCGACAACTTTGGGCTGCTGAGTTGATATCTAGGCATTTCAAGAAGGCCTTGTTTTTCCCCCGCTCCCTTTTTCTGGCAGCTAAAAAGACGAAAGGAGTATCTTTTTAATAGACACTCAGGGGACTTCTGCGTGGCGGGAAGAACCACGCTGCAATTCGGATTCGCTTTCTCCTGCCTGAGCCAGTCCTCCAGCAGCAGATTGCATAAAAGATGCTCCATGATTTAAAAAAAATAAATTGAAAAGGAAGCTTAAAGTTTGAACATTGGCCGTTTTCCAGATTTGAGGGAATGTTGAGTTAGGTTCCATCTTGCTGTAATCAAGATGTTGGCCTACTGTACTATTCAGATCACAGCAGCTCTTCACGGTGGTTGGTACATGACAATGTTTTACATTAAATCTATTATAAGAATAAATCCTAAACTTGCATATCCGGCAGACTCAAATACGAGTAGAGTAGAAATGAGTTGAGTTGAGTTGAGTTGATGATAGGGATAGGGATAGGAATTAGAGTATAGTAGAGTAA